TTTGTGAGGCTTGGGGCCCAGTATAGTTCGTGCTCCTTGCAGGGAGCTCGGGTTCTCAGTAGGGAGCTCGCTCTTAATAGGGAGCTCGGACTCCCAGTAGGGAGCTCGCTCTAAATAGGGAGCTTGGACTCCTATTAGGGAGCTCGCTCTTAATAGGGAGCTCGGGCTCCCAGTAGGGAGATCGGGTTCTTATTAGGGAGCTCGGACCCTTAATAGGGAGCTTGCTCTTAATAGGGAGCTCGGACTCCCAGTAGGGAGCTCGGACTCTTGGTAGGGAGCTCGGACTCCTAGTAGAGTGGTCTGGAGTTCGGGCTCGGTAGTGAGCTTGGACTTGCTTCCGATGTTCGCTTCGGGCGCTTTACTGTCCTGAGTTGTTTGCCTTTGCCACGTGTCGGGCGATTGCGAGGTCGGGCCAAATTTCCCTTCATCATGTGGCACCCTGTATGAGGAGCAGATCCAGTCTCACATGTGACACTGTGAGTGGGCTCTCTCATTGAATCAGGATTTGCTCTTCACAAGACCGCACCTCACTCACAGCATACATCCCACCTTATACTGAAAACATCTCCCATAAGGCAATGAATAAAAACAAATCAGGATTTGCTCCTCACATAGCGCAACTCACTTCTGATCTCACAGCATCATACCATGTACAGGGAGAATGACTGACCAGTCTAGGTCAGAATTTTATAGCCCCACCATACCGGGGGCATTAATCCTGACTGTGAATTGATGCCAAATTCACAGATAGGATGTAGTTTATAGGGGAGGGGGCTACTAATAGACTATGGGGGACTGACATTCAGAATTCTGCATTGGATTGCAGAATGATTAACCCAAACATCTATCCATTATTAACACAAAGTACAGGCTATATTCCTGTCCTGATGTGTGGCTGGGACACATTGTGAGGTTAGTGCGAGAAGTGCTTTCTGAGGAGCATATCCGGAACCAGATTCCCTTCTATCAACGCATTAACTATCCGAAATATTAAAGTTATAGCTACACCCATGTTACAAACAATGAACACCATTAAAATTACAACTTATAACCATTTCCCAATGATCAACTCATTTTGTGGGTCATTATAGTACGGGTGATTAGGGTTGGTTCGATTTGGTTAGAAAGCAGAAGTTGGAATCCATCTTGTTGGATCAGTTTCCAATTTTTTGGAACTGAAACCTATCTGTTGCGGCCTTGCACTGAAACAACAACATCAAAGCCTTTGATGTTTTGTTGTAGCCCACTTTGAATTAGATGAAGTAATGTCTTGATTGGGCCACTGCAATGTATCAAAGGCTTTGATTCTCGTTTTAGCCCTGTGCTATGATAATTTTGTAGCAAAAGTGGACTCCTTTATCATAATAACATTAATAACAACAATGATCAAAATCACTCAAACGATTCAATGGTCAAGTGAAACCACAGTCTTTGCAACCATGAGTATTTGGGATTAAATCTTTACATCTTCAAAATATTTTGAAAAAAAATTTCAGGCAAATTTGATTCTTCGGGTCAGTTTGAATAGGATTAACCACTAGACCTTGAAATCGGTGTAGGTGGGGATAAGTTTAAAGAATTTGGATAAGTAATATGTTAGATGAAGTGATAAGTAATATGTTAGATGAAATCGGTGTAGGTGGGGATAAGTAATATGTTAGATGAAATCGGTGTAGGTGGGGATAAGTAATATGTTAGATGAAGTGATCATCTAACATATTACTTAAAGGTCTATCAGCTTTCAAACAAAAAAATAAAATAAAATAAAGGTCTATCAAGCAAACCTTGTCAACACTTTAATGATTTAATAATTGAAACAAAAAAGAGGACAATGACAGGTGGCAAAACGACTTGTAAGGGCTTGGAAAAGTCACTAAATTTGCTGAGTGCAGATTTCTTGCACTTTCACAATTATGGCAATGTATGGCTGCAGTTCAAAACGGGTAGTGTGGGTAGAGAGTTGTGAGCAAAACAGGTGGGCTTGGATTGAGAACTTTGGTTAAACCATAAATCAACTTGCTTGCCATATCGGAAAGGTGTTCCAAGTCGAAATGAGAACTTGAGAAGGCCTGTCCAGTGTCCACATACCAGAGAACAGCAGTATAGCACACTGCGTTTCCAACAAATCATGCATATACACTCTCCAAAAAAGTTAGGAACGTCACCACTGGGGATCACCACTGACTCCGAATCACCTGCCCATGCCTACTCACAATACACCACCCCCGGTGAAGTGGGAACATCTCCCCCTGTATAATACTATGCAGAGGATGAGATGTGCTCCATGTATGATAGTGATAAACGTGAACAGGATTCTCGTGGGCAGAAAATCTGAACTCATTTCCTACTCACTTTTCTTACCCACTAACTACGCGCTCTTAAAGACTTAAACAGATATTAACCAAGGGGAGGCTCGTTATATTAGCTGATTCGCTCTAGCATCTATTCCTGTAACCACCGACTTTATATGGACTGGGATTAGTGTGTTGCATGATCGTCAAATTGCAAATACCCAAAAAAGAGAAGAAAAAAAAACAGATATTAGAATATAGCAGCAAGTCTAGGTGATAATGCCAGTGTTTGGAATCAATGCTGTTTCTTTAAAAACTATGCCACATTAGTGTCATGTCTGAAATCCGTTTTTTCAGGCAACACCTAATGTCTGGTTTTTCCAAAAAGTATTTTCTCATACCATATCTTAAAAATCGAGAAATATGTGGTCTGAAAAAACATCCTTTTTGATATTTGTTTGCCTTTTTACTGTTTCTAACAATAATATGCTGACATGACATTGAAAAACACTTACGTGGCAGCAACTGCTAGGGTTGCAGATGGATCAGATAGAATGGGATATGCTGCATATCTGAATTTGATTTATTAACATTTGAATCCAAATCGGATCATATCTATCAAATATCTAGCAGATTATAATCAGATATTAAATAATATAATTAAATTGACTAAAAATAACCAAAATATTAAATATTATTAATAAGATAAACTAAAAATGACTTTAATAATTTGAATATATGACTTTAATAATATATATATAAATCAAATCGAATCGAATTATATTAAATCGTATAGGATAGATCCATAGTTGATCCAATTATAAACGGATCAAGTTCGGATTGGATACCATTTGCAGCCCTAACAACAGCAATGGTACCAAATAAAAAAATATATATATTTTATGAGAAAACGGCATGCCAATGCAACACCGTTTTCTAAAAAAACACCTCTCAAAAAACTGCATCGGTTCCAAACACCACCATGTCTCCTCTTGGTTGTAGGAGGGAACTGTAATTGAATCCAACCTTCATCAGGGTTGAGGGTATGGGGTATGTTGTTCCTTTGCCTAGCAAAAGAAATGTCTAAATCCCCTATCAGCACCCAATTTTTGCTCGAACCATCGCCCGAACCTCCAATTCACCCCAAACACACAATCAGACCCTTATGATCCCTCCAAAACACCCAAAAACCCAAAAGTCCCAACTTTCACCCTGGAATCCCTCAGATCCACCATTAAACTTACCTGATACCTATCCAATGGCCCTGATCGACCTCCACCTACACCTCAACCATTGGATCAGACACAACCATCAGACCTAGTACCTCCCAAAACACCCACCTGTGAAATCTCAGCCCAAAATACCTCTGTTTATCCTTCAATCGCACCAAGATTCCATTTCTAGATTCTAGATTGACCAGATTACGAATCTACCCGATCCAGGCCCAATTGGCTCAATCTAACCTTATTGATCATCTCAAACTGTCCAAAGAACCCAAATCTCAAAATCCACTATTGATCTCATCTAATTTCCCAAAATACCCCTAACCAAATTCCCAAATTACCCCCCTTGCACCAAATTACCAAAATACCCTTCTCCAAATTACCACAATACCCTTTCCTCATTGCCAAGTTACCAAAATATCCCTTGAACTAATTACCAAAATACCCCCCCCTCAGACCAAATTACCAAAATACCCTTCTATAAATTTCCAACTTACCTTTAACAAAATTACCAAAATACCCTCAGACCAAACTACCAGAATATCCTTCGAACAAGATTACCAAAATTTCCTCCTTCCAAATTACCAAAATACCCCATTGACCAAATGCCCTTCATACCCAAAATTCCAAAATTACCCCTTCATTTTAAATTCCCAAAATACCTTCATTGTGTCCAAATTCTCAAGATACCCCTCATTCCTTAAATCTCCAAAATACCCTTTAAACCTAAAATTACCAAAATGCCCTTCACCCCAAATTACCATAAATTACCCTTTGGACCCCAAATATTGAACCCTCCTATCCCTTTAAACCCTAACTTACCGAAACCCCCCTTTCATTTTTTGAAAATTGACAAAACCTCCCCTTGCCCTCCATTATAAAATAGAAACCATTCCCAAGAGAAAGAGGAGTTTTTGAAGATAGTAGGGGTCGAGAGGGGGTCTCTTCAGATAGAGAACAGGGAGCTCTCGGTGGTTCTCCTAGAGAGAGGTTGTCAGGTGAGAACAGAAGTTTCAAGAGAGAGAAAACTGAAGAAGAAGAAGAAGAAGAGAGAGTTCTGAGAGGAGAGAAAAACACGCGAGAGGGTTATGAGAGAGGAGTCAAGAGACGAGAGAGGGTTTGAGAGAGAAACGTCTGCTCACAAGAGAAGGGGAGTTCTGAAATTGGTTCAAAGTACAGTGATTCATTGTTCAAGATAGGGTTGTTCACGGGTCGGGTTGGGTCGGTTTACTGAAGTTTTTCCAACCGACCCGACCTGATTGGGTTACCTGAGATGGAAATCGAAACCGACCCAGTGTTAAGCAAAACCGACCTGGCCAGTTTGAGTCGGGTTGGGTCGGTTTGGATCAGTTTCGGTTCTAAGTTCATCCATGCCCCCCATGGCCCATGTGCCTGTGTGGTGCAAGTTTGGGTTGTCAGATATTTCAGTTTTTATGTAAAACTGAAATATMTTTATTTAAYAKTTTTAAATATAAAATATATTTAAATTAAAATCAAAATATATATTTAAATAAATTAGATCGATTTAATTTAAAATCAAAATATATATTTAAATAGTTAAATAAGAACGAAGTCAGTTTGGTTCAGGTCGATTTCGATTTTCACACAAAAAAACCGAAACCAACCCGAACCATCGGTTTATGAATTTGTACAACCCAAAACCGACCGATGCTAATAAAAACCCGACCGACTCAGATTGAGTCAGTCCGGATTAGTCGGTTTGATCGGGTTGAGCCTTCTTATGAATAGCCCTAGTTCAAGAACTCGGTTCTCTCCTCTTACATCAAAACTTAGAAAATATCATGGCATTCACATGATAAGAAAGGGAGAGGGTGCCTAACACCTTCCCTCTCTCTCCCTTTGGTACCTAGAATCATGTCTTTGTCTTGGATTAAAGCCATCCCTAGTGAGCTTCCTAAATAAAATGAAAAAAAGAAAAAAAAAATCTCCGTATTTCGCAGATAATGCCGAGTTTGTAATAGTGGACCGAATCACCTACTCTTGGAAATAATGAACAGGATTATCAAAGATAAATTCAACAGAAATTATCAAAAGAAAATGATAAATTCAACAGAGCCCAATTTGTATCAGAATTGGAAGATAGAAGTTTCAGACATAGAAATAGTGCCTTCACTCTTTCATAGCATAATTGATAAGCCAGTAACATTTCACGTCACTAATCATCTCCTACTCTGAAGACTGAGGACTTCTGTCTCGTTTTCCTGGATAATACGATCTAAAGCATACTGGGATAAAAATAGTTCATGTGCAGAAACATAATATTTTCTATGGATGAATTTATTCATACAACTTGAATACAACTACAGAAAGACAGATAAACGGATAGGAACTCCAGTAAGGCAGCTAAATAATCATCTGACTGGCTGTAAGCAGACAATTGGATGGATATAGCCAAATAGTTCACCCATCAATTGGTGGTTTCCTGCACGTGCACCATTCTATCAATAGACTTAACATGGTAATTAATCAAGTAATTACTTTATGTGTTGGAATGGGGGGAATAGTCCATAAAATTTATCTCTGTCTATGTCTGCTTTAACCTACCCAGCTACCTCCAACAGCTAAAAATGATAAATATGGAAGATAGAAAATATAGCATGGAACCAGCATAGATGACATGTAAACATGAAGCTGATCACGAAAAAATGAACATATGAAAGAGCAAAGTATGAAAAACAGAGGAAATTCTTAACCATCATCACAGCACAAATGTTATTTACCCATGCAAAAAACAGAAGATTCCATAATTGAAGGTGACACTGACAACAAAGCCTATCTTCCTAATATGAACACTACCTTGTTTTAAACTAATTTGGGTTCTTTCTGTATCTCTTTTTCCTTTTTTTGTGGGGGTGTGGGGAGGAGGATATGATTGTTGTAATGGTATAATCTCATACATTGACCCTTAATTATGTAAAGTAGCAATGACTAAATAATTGTCCAGAGAACAAATGAAGTGCATGCCAAAATTATCCATTTATATTACTTAATAATTATGTCAGATTTTCTAACTTTAACCCTGATCAAATAACAAACAAGATGTATCAAATAAGAAGGAATGGTGATACAGCAAGATTAATCATAAAAGAGACGGGCTGGAGACATCCACCAAAACCCACAAAGAGGATAATCACATATACAAGATGCATAAGATATATAAATCAATTCAATAGAGAAGCTTCAGAAAACAATTCATTCCTCACAAAGTGACTTCTATGAACCCACCTGAATTCAAGTTTGCAACTTTGCATACCTTGGGATCTAATTGATCTAGATGTTCTTTCTGTAAACCAAAGATACAGCCTCTATATGAGGTGAATCAATCTTCAAGGCCCAATAGAACATCATCCTATCTGCCCAATAATAGACTTCATTCAATCCTCTCACCGCCTAAGGAGAACAGAAATATAAGCCCTTGATGCAGGGCCCAAAAACTTGGCTGTAGATGAATCGCCTATAATAGCTTTATCAAAAAAAATAGCCTATAATTGTCAAACCAGAGAAAGATTATAAAGAGACACCTTCAATGACATGCTAATCAAAGCAATGTCCACCTTATTTGAGCAAGCATTGTCTCAGACAGGACCCTACTAACCTTTTTGACTTGAATACCATGACCTATATACAGGGGACATTACCCAATGTTGACCCCCACTATATTTCTGCTAAGCATCAAGTAGAGACTTCCAGAAACTAAGTAATGGATTACAAGCTCAACTGTAACCAGTTAAAATGGACATAAGAAACTTTTTTCATGAAAAAGGCATTTTCCCTTTTATGATACAATATGTCTGATATGGGGAATATCGTAACAAAAATTTGAACCTTGGTCACAAGTCAGGCATTAAATTTCCTTTTCTTTTCGGTTTTGTTTGTATTTTTAGCCATTTCCATCTTTATCCATTAATAGCAATAATTCTCATTCATAACACTTGAATATGAAGAAGATAATATCAAAGGCATGCTCAACCTTTACTGCAGTTTTATGTGATTTTCTTTATTTTTCTACATGTTTATCTATATTTTTTTTTTTATTACCTGATTTATGATGTCATGGGTTGACAAACCTGGAGGGGAAAACGGTTCCATTTTCGGGTCATTTTTTAAAACACTGCTTTCATGAAATACCTGATTGACGTAACGGTTTCAAAACATTTTTTAAAACCTGATTTATGATCTCAGAAACACAATAACCCTCACCAAATTGATGTAACGTTTCATGAAATACCTGCCTACTTTACATTTTTTTTTTCTTTGGATACCCCCTGAAACCATGCTTTTGGATGAAAAGACCAGGTTTTGTAGATAAAATTCCAGATTTTGATGGGGGAGAACACAAAAGAAAAAGGTTCAACTATCTATCAATAACATGCTACACATGAAAAATCAAAGCACTTCCTAAAGAAAGAAAGTTCCCAAAGACAAAAGGCAAATATAGCTTCATTAATAGGCTTTCAATGTTCTTTTTGTTAGACAGTGTATGCCCTTAGCTCCAATCAGAATGATGTACCTTATGGCATTTATTGTAAATTAATAAAGTACATATTTGATTCATGTTATTGTGATGTGTTTCTGTGTAATACCCTTAAACTGGACACATGTGAGACTCGTGTTAGTTTAGAATCTTCACAATCGTTGGATAGATCTAAGGAGATTTATCCTGCCAAGGCTGACACTGATGTCCCGCCAAGTTGGTTGGGGTGGCTTGTCTCAGCTGCTAGGGTGAGACCTGAGGTACATGCAGTGTGGGTTTTCTTGAAACCCTGAACCGGACCAGAATTCCAGTATTGC